ATTTCGGTTTCCCACTTTTAGAATGGGTTTCTAGTAGTTCTGATTTATGTTTTGGCATGAGATCAAAAAGGTACTTCGAAAACATCCTGCAAGAACAATACCTCAACTTAAACAAAAACTTCAAGATATATGGGATTCGTTCACACCAGAATTTTGCCAAGGCATAGTTAATACCATGCCGCAAAGAATTTCTGCTGTAATACAAAAAAAAGGCAACGTTACTTAATGGTAAACTTTACACTCGATTATTGTTTAATTCCAACTATTTGTTTAATTTTTCTTTATTTTATTATGAATAAAGGTTTTAATGTTTTCTACGTATTTTTTATGATTAAAACGATATTAAATATATTGTTCAACGAATAAAAATTGGAAAGTTCATGCAGTATTTATATTCTTTAAATGCGAATTTCCTAAATATCAATTGGTGGGCCAACTGAAATGGGAAGGGGCTCGTATACATGTAAACAAACAAAAAATGCAAATTTCGGAGTACTAAAAATAGAAATCAACAATCGTCGTCGAAACACAGTGTCGTATTAAAATATTCTAGTGAAAATTACTGAAACCAACGGAAGATTTCCTAGAAAAAGCAGAAAAATAGACATCGAGGCTAAAAACCTTAGATTTCATAGTGAAAACAGTAGAACAGGAGATTGAGAGTGAAAACAGAAGATATCCTGTTAAAACAGGAGATCTGGTAACACTACCTGGCAGTATAGTCGCCACTGATTATTATTTCTTACATACATTCAATGTTTTCCGGATTAACAATTCTAGGGAACCCCGTGTAGTCGGAGGGATTCCCCGCTCCGTGAAGCAAGATACGTTTTCCAATTACGGTAATATTTATGCAGATGGTACTTTGACTTGTATTGTAATGTAGCTTTTTTTAATTGCCAAGAGGGGTCAGCACTGATTAAATAAAATAATTTTAGATTAAACAATTATGTTACAATTATCGATTATGTTACACATTATCGTTTAACCTAATTTGATGGAAAAATTATGTTACAATTCCATAATTATGTTACAAGTGGCAACACTGGTTGCGCCCTACATTTATATCCTTTGTATCAGTAAATAAGTACGGCGTTGCTAAAAAAGTAACGATCCGAATCTAAGTGTATAAATGCCGTACTGTAGTAAATCACCAAAAATCGTGCAAACAATTTCCGAAAATCAAAATTTTCCTGGCTCCTGTTATCGCTATTTTTGTACGGTATTAGGTCGTAGGTCATTACTTTTTCTTTTCCTACTTACTTTAGAAATGTTTTGTCGTTAACGACCCCCTTTGTTGGTTTGTTTAGTTTATATGTGTACTCACCTGTAACAACAAGAATTGACGTATGGTTTCTAAAGTTGTTACATATGGTAATATTGATTTATAAGTAATTCAAGCTGGGTCAAATGACTCCTTAAACTTTCTCGATGGGCTTGTTTGTAGTCTATTATAATTGTTTTGTGTTAAATTTAATCTTTATTTTTGAGATTTTGTAGTCCTTTTTTGAAGGTAAATCTCAATTTTAATTAAATAGTGACTAAAATGGTAAAATTTTGCTAAGTTTCTTAATAAACAATGTTTTTTTTATTTTAAACTTTCGTTATGTATAAACCCTAGAAGTCCCTTGATTGAGTTCGGCGGTTTCGGGTAAGCTTTTTATTAATAATGAGTATAGAAAAGCTGTCTGATTAATGAGATGCTGCCCTACATTTGTCTGATACCAATTTTTTTTTTATTTTATTTATTTTATCATATGCAACAATTTTCAAATAGCTTGTTATTATTACGATTGTTCAATTTAAAAAACTAATTAATTTATTTAATAATTAACCTGCGTCTTGTTAGCAAGTAGCCAGCCAGTAATAAATTCAGATGGAGGCCAAAGCGCCAGCGTTCTTACTAAATCTTTAACATCTAATTATTTTAAATTTCGACATAAAGAATATATTAAATCATAATTTATTGCATTATAATTATTATTACTCTTTCTTAAAATTAGAGGGATTTAGAGAGGGCTAAAGCTTTTATTGATAGAACGAAATTTGTGTTTTTCAAAAATTTATTGAAGACATTCGATAGATAATAAAAAAACAAACAACTTTTTTAAATACCATTTTAAATGCTATATGGGTAATAAGGGATTTAGAGAGCTTTGAAATTTCAGTTTTTTTGCTGAACCAAAATGTATTTAAAAAAGTTGTTTGTTTTTTTATTATCTTTCAAATGACCTAAATGAATTTTCAAAAAAAAACAAATTTGGTTCAGCAATAAAAACTCTGAAAATTCGAAGCTCTCTAAATCTCTTATTACCCATATAGCATTTAAAATGGTATTTGTACAAGTTGTTTGTTTTTTATTATCCATCAAATGGTCAAAATAAATTTTTGAAAAAAATACATTTTGGTTCAGCAATAAAAACTCTGAAATTTCAAAGATCTCTAAATCCCTTATAACTCATGTAGCATTTAAAATGGTATTTAAAAAAGTTGTTTGTTTTTTATTATCTTTCAAATGGGCTAAATAAATTAAAAAAAAAAAAACAAATTTTGGTTCAGCAAAAAAAATTCTGAAATTTCAAAGCTCTCTAAATCCCTTATTACCTATATAGCATTTAAAATGGTATTGAGTCATTCCATTTAAAATCGTCTAATTGACAAAGCTGACCCATCTTAGATTTTGGTGTAACTTCAAAGAACTATTTCTTAGGGTCTCAAAGAGCAAAATTTACACGAGTTTGATTTTTATAAGCACTCCTTTCCACCTATTTAAATAAAGACTTTAAAAAAAAATCGATATTTTTAAGCCTTATCGACATTTCCTCTGAAATTTTTCTTTTTGAAGATAACTAGATTATTAAAGCGGAATTCTAAGGGGGAAAGAAAGTAGTTTAAGTGGAAGCATCGATCATTGTCTCAATCAATACCTCTGATTAACGGCAGCGTGCTGAAAATAAGTGTTTTTTGATCATTTTTCGTGAATTTCAATCGACTCTAGTGTCTTAACTGCTTAGACTTAGCAACTTATGTTCCTCAGGAATTTACAGCAAAAATCATTTGAATTTTTTTATTTTATAATCTTATAAATTCAGTTTTTCTTGATGTTTTTTCGCAAATACAGAATTTATCTTACCTTTTTATCGAATTTCAGGTGTTTTTAATATCTATCAGTTATTTGGAAAGAAGTTAAAAATTGAGTTGAGTTTTGCTGTAAAAAAACGACTCGCACATACATAAAAATAACAAAACAAGTGGTACGGTCATTTAAAGTTAAAGGTAAGAACAGTAGATTCTGAGAGTTTCAAATTTTTATCTGGCAGTCAACACGTTCATTATATAACCTGAATAATGCAATTTTTAAAAATTTCAAAACTTCAAGCAAAGTTGTTTTCTGCAAAGAGTGGACTGCTCAGGTTGACTTGTGGCTGTATTTTATCTACGATATATACACTTAATTTCTGAGGAACATAAGCTGCCAAGTTTAAGCAGTTAAGACGCTAGAGTCGATTGAAATTCCCGAAAAATTATCAAAAAACACTCATTTTCAGCACGCTGCCGTTAATCAGAGGTATTGAGTATTGACTGAGCAAATTATCGATGCTTTCACTTAAACTACTATCTTTCTCCCTCAGAATTCCGTTTTAATAATGTGGTTATCTTCAAAAAGAAAAATTACAGAGGAAATGTCGATAAGGCTTAAAAATATCGATTTTTTAAAGTCTTTATTTAAATAGGTGGAAAGGAGTGCTTATAAAAATCAAACTCGTGTAAATATTTTTTTTGGGACCATAAGGAATAGTTCCTCAAAGTTACACCAAAATCTAAAATGGATCGCAACATTTTTTTTTATTTTCAGACGATTTTGTATGGAATGACTCATTAGAAAAAGTTGTCTGTTTTTTTTATTATCTTTCGAATGGGCTAAATAAATTTTCGAAGAAAACAAATTTTGGTTCAGCCATAAAAACTGAAATTTCGAAGATCTCTAAATTCCTTATAACCCATATAGCATTTAAAATATAGCATTTAAAAAAGTTGTTTGTTTTTTTATTATCTTTCGAATGGGCTAAATAAATTTTTGAAAAACACAAATTTCGTTCTAGTATTAAAAGCTTTAGCCCTCTCTAAATCCCTTATTATAATTTTAAGAAAGGGTAATAATAATTATAATGCAACAAATTATGATTTAATATATTCTTTGTCGAAATGTAAAAGAATTAGATGTTAAAGATTTAGTAAGACAACTGGCGTTTTGGCTTCCACCTGAATTTATTGTTTCACTATTTTAATTCACACTTCTAATTTATTTTTAAATAACAACATTTATATTGAGACTTATACTAAAAACTAACTTACTATTTGCAAAGAGTCTATTTATATTATAAATGTTATTGTCCAAACAACCCTAGGCCTGCATCGAGCTTGTCTAGAAAGATCTCGTAATGCCGCCGCCGTTCCAACGGTGATCTTTAGACGATTGGCGACAAAGCGAAACCCCTTGCTTTATGAGTTGATTCGTGTACAAAGAGCTTTCTGATATTCTCTCAGATGTATCAGTGTAGATTAGGCGTCGCTCTATAGAGCAGAACCGGACTTGATCGATTTGCACATTATGTTATAGATTGGCATTTTTTTTTAAATTTTCAGATTGGCCACAAAAAAGATTTTTAGATGGTTTGCTATGATTTTGTTTGTCTCATTTTTAATTAAAAACGTGTTATTGACATGCTAAATCCATCATATAACTACATTCGAAAAATCGGACAGATTGCTAAGATTCACGTCGATAAATTTTTTTGACATTTTTGAGAATTTGGTCAGGTCAAACTCTACGCCAAAAATGTCTGATATTGGCCATTTCTGTTTCAGGATAATCGAATCTATCGATTTTATACGGTTTTGGTAGTAATACGCTTTAAGCACATTACCTTATTATTAGTCGCGCATTCATATAAATTCCCTATCGCTCTTAAATATTTATAATTATTTCTTACTTTTAGCTATTTCCTAAAGGATTGCTGAAGCCACACAACATTGGTTCCTTACCAGAAAATAAAAACAAAAATCGCTACAAAAATCTTATAGCATGTAAATATTTTCTTTTTAATTTATAATAATGCAATTATTTCGATTGTTTTATTTTGCAGATGATCATACAAGAGTGAAAATAAAATACAATTCCACAGATGATAACAATGTTGGTTACATAAATGCGAACTATATAGAGGTAAGTTATACAAATTATTTAATGTTAAAGGCTCTGTTTAATTTAGCTTTGCTATGAGCCATGAAGAAAAATCATAATTAGAGTTGGTTATAAAATTTAAATGTATTGGGGTGGTGTTTTAGCCACTTTCGCAGAATGACATTATTACTCCACATTTCAGAAGATAAAGAAAACCTTTGAAGTAGTTTGTATGTGCATAAAATGTTTTCTTTCCAGGGAGCACTACAATTTTTTTTGTTACGGACTATACAATAACAATAATTTTAAAATGGAATAATTTTTATTAGGTATTATATAATATTATTCTTGTATAACTTGAGGACGGACCGAGTTGAGAATTGAGTAAAATACGAAATGCTACTAGTTTTAAATAATTATTCAAGGTTTGTTAGAAACCTACATAAAATAAAATAATATACAAGATATTTGTACCGCCTATATTGTTTGTTGGAAACGACGTGAAATTTCTCTAAATGTACGGTTTAGGGCGAACAAAACTAACAATTTCCAAGTAGTCTATTTGAAATAGACGAATCACATCAAGGACCACATCCCCAACTAGCCATTCATAAAAGTGTATTTGTTGTGAAGTTCTCATCCATAGATATATAACCAAGACAGATAGGATTATTTACAAAATTTTTGAAGAATGAACGGTGGTGTCCGCGGTAGAAACCCAATAATCGGATTGAACATTGATGCCAAGTTTACGTGCTTTTAACTATAGATATATATATATATATATATATATATATATATATATATATATATATATATATATATATATATATACCTATAAATGGTATGTAATGAAGCCCGAGAGACAAATGGGCCGCTTTGGAGCCCGGCGCTTGCAAGTGGTTTAGGCGTGTATACTTTTTCTATATCGCTTTAAAATCATAGAAAACATATAGAGGGGAAAGTAGAGGGGTAAAGATTTCGAAACAGGAGTGTCCAATATAAACATTTATACCTTTGTGAAGCCCAAGAAGATATCTTTAAGACGTTAAGAAACCCACACGTATAAAAAAAGATACTAGTGAATCACAGTGAAGCCCAGCGGTGCTGCCATTTCTACTTATAGTGGTGCGTTCTATTTTTAGATTCAAGGATACTCTCAGATGATTTTTAAGTATTTTCCAGTTTTGCTTCTTTTGCCATCGGGCGTTTCATGGTAGTGTTTGTGCTTACAGAAATATAATACTATTTAATCTACAGCCTTTTTTGGAAGTTAGGTAGGTAATTTTTTCTACGCTCTATCTTTATCGTAACTGAATCAAATATTCATAATAGTTAACTAAAAAATTGAGTATTCAATATTTACAATTTCGAAATAAAACTAAAATAAATAATAACTTTCCTAATATTATTGTGTAAAATTTCCAATTCATTTATTATGCATTTATTTATAGTTGTAATTTACTGAAGGAGTTTAATTAAAATATTCCAAATTTATTTAATTATTTGTATATGGCTGTAGAAAAAATATGATATGCAACATATGCATGTCTTATTTTCACTTATGGAATTGCCGCACACACCTGACGGCTTGTGCGTTCAATTTTTCTGTTCGTGAAAAAAGTACCACTTTGTGCACTCGTTACATAAATTACTATTATATTTTTTTTATTTCACTATAGTAGTTTAAAATATTTCAATTTGGCAATTAATATTATAATCGTAGTGTTCTTAGTTAGACACGGTCTTTTGAATTGGTGTATATATAGTATTTAAGTATCCCTTATGGTTTAGGGTTGTTCATAAGAATTTGAATAAGACATTGTCATTATAGATTGTGAACGTAATGTGTTAATACCCATAATTAACCTCTGTACCATAAAATATTGTAAAAAATGCTGGCGCAAGTCAATTTTTATTTTAATCAAGACATCTTATCATATAAAAAGTCTACCAATTACTATAGTGCTCGACAAAACTATTTGCTATCTTAAAATTATTTTCAATTATCTGTTCATTGATTTTCTGCGTAATAAGTATGCAGCGTCCTTTCCAGCAGATGACAACTCTTATTATTTCCTTTTCGGATTACTTATTGGCAAAAGTTAATCTTATTTCCAATAACCAGACAATTTAATTCATTTTAAAAGATTTATTTAGAAATTTTACGGTTAGTTAAAGGAATAAGCCGACAGCATTAATATTTAAACCCCTTAATGGTATTTCCAATTTTTGTGAAACATATACCTGTTAAGATTTAATCCTTTTCTGTGAGTAGGGGTAGTTCTTCTACAAGAATATTTTATTCAATGAACCAGTATTAGTCTTATTTTTAATTTTGAATATTGAACATCTATTAATTTATTTAGTGATAGAGCATATTAATATTAACTACCTATTACGTAAATTTGCAGCCGGAGGTACGATCGTTTTTTTAGTCGATATTTTTTACAACTTTGAGTTATCTGACGTCTCGTTTGCAGGGGTTTTAAACTATATACATATTTGCAGATGAGACTTCTGATGGTCTCGCCAACCACTACACAAATTCCAGCCGGAGGTACGTTTGTACCAACTATGAGTAGAGACTTATTTTATATTTCTGATCTAATTTATTTTAGTGTTTTTATTCTTTCTTGTTCATTTTAAAGCTTTTTTTCTTGTATTGTGTTATTTTCAATGATTTATTTACGTTTGTATTTTTTCCAATTTAATCTAGAAATAAATAATGTTTTAAATATGATTTTTTATTATTTATAATAAATTGCTGCTTAAGTTTATCATTTTCGAAGATAGACTATTTTTTGACATATAAATTTATCATCCTTCTTTACTTTAGAAAATGATAACCCCTGTAAAACATATTGCAGAACATAAAGTATATTAGGTATGATCGGAAATAATTAATTAAATAAAAGTGAAAATTATTAGTTGTTTTTAAACGGTGTGAGTCATGATGAAAATTCAAAGGACAAAGATGCTTAATTTTTAATTACTGTTCTATAAAAAGATCAGCCCAAAAAATCACACCATTTTTCTAAATATTATTAAATGATATGACTACTCAAATGCACCTGAAGAAAATAAGTTTAATTATTAGGGATAAACCTGCCAATTTTCACTTAAATCGGTTAAAATAGCTCTAAACTATAGATAATTAATAAAAAATAAAACAAACCATCTCTTTAACACATTGCGTCAAATATGAAAGAGGTGATATTTTTGTAAGGCAGGTAGGTTTCTATTCACGACGATGCCATTCAAATATGAATGGACACCACAGGGTATTTTAAATGAGGTATCTCAACTGTGGCCCCTGCCGAACATAATATACACGTTGGTTATAATAAAAAAACCGAAAGATTACAGTTTGCTGGTGAAATGATCATATAATTCTTATGGTTACACAAAAAAGAGGAAAAATGTAAAAAGAAGAAACACATTTATTTGTCTTATTGAAACATAATAAACACATGTGGTTGTTAGTATACATCTCGCAGCAGGTGTAAACTATTTTGGCCCGATTTGGTATATATTTTGTACTGAAATAAAATATGTTTATCCCTTTTTGGGATTAACTCCTTTTTTTTGGTATTATATTTGATTTTTTTTGGTGTTTTTTATATTTAAAAGATGTGGCCTGGGACAAAAAAATACACTATCTTCACTTCTTTCATTCAAGAAATACACCATAAAAATTAAATATAATAACAAAAAAAGTAATAAAACACTAAAAAGGCATAGTTTATTTGAGTACCAAATACAGTACAGAGTAGAACGTTTAACTGGAACTCATTCTGTAAGTTTAAAAAGGTTTGTTGCAAAATTCCTGAAACAAGTCAATTTTTATTTTCTATGGGGCAAAATACCAAGAGGTTTGTTAATTTTTTTAATTTTATGGGACCCCCAACTTTTTTTATGAAAGTGTAGGTTTTTTTAATGCAAGCTTTTCAATTGCAAATACAAGAACGTATTATTTTGTTTCTTTTACAAGCAAAGTTTCGGAGAAAAAATAAAATAACAAAATGTTTTCTGAAACTATAATGTAACGAATGCAACTTTCCACTCGGTAATCAGTTTGGCCCACAGCGTTCTCTGCTAACACCGTGACATGCAATGTGTTAAATAACAGTTTTATATGTATCTTTTATCAAGATATACTATGTGCGTTGCAAATCCCGACTGTATATTCTTGAAAATATATTTTACGCACGTTCTCGGACCTAGCAGTGTTGTCAGTTGTAGGGCCCGGCAACAACCTGTTTAAATGAAATTATTTTACTGTATAAATCTTATACACGAAAGCGCCCTCTACAGTCAGGTCTTCAAAACTTTTTGTATAAGTAAATGCATAAATGGTACTTTGTAAAGTCCAACGAGAAATTTTGGTAGAAGGATGTGTAGAGCAAGCGGAATCGAATGGTTGTTAAATACACGGGGTTCGTTGTGAAGCCCAAAGTCGGGCTTCACAACGTCGCTTCGGGCTTCATAACGAATTAAAGATATCTTGTACGGGCCTGTATAAGAGCGTTTATAAGTCTATATATATATATATATATATATATATATATATATATATATATATATATATATATATATATATATAACCAATATAGATTACACAATTTCTGAAGTCAACGCGGATGATCCTCGACAGAAATGCAATATTTGGATAAAATTAAAATATTGATGTCAAGTTTGCGATGTTTTTAACTGTAGTAATGTTATTGCGTTTGCTTGAATTACTGTTAGGTCTTTAAATTGTCCAAAAAAAAAAAATAACGTCTGACAACAGCGGAAGTAGACTAGACCACAATTGTGGAGGGTTGTATATTGTTTCATTCATAAAAATTCTTTCGATACAGTACTAGTCCAGGAGCCAGTGAATTTTTTTCGTACTTGTTTTCCCGGTCCGTGTATATTTAAATAATCTATTCCCGGTGAACTGTATATTTAAAATGGACCGCCAATCTATTAACAGAAGTAAGCCAGATTGAATTTGCGCAATACGTCACATCGATACAAGTGAGATTGTTTACAAA